AAAGAAATAATAGATACGTAAAAAATTATGTATATAAAGAAATATATATTTAATTTCTTGATTTTTAAATTTGATAATTTATTATGGAAATAACATTTTCCCTTTCAAAAATACAAATATGAAAAAATGCTATCATTATATACTTAATTATATTAAAAAGTTCTGAGCTTCTTTTATTCTATCATGATTATATTGTATCATAATTTTTCAATTCTTAAAAATATCAAAGATATCGTCAGGTTAAGTTAGGTTAGGTTAGGTTAACCTAATCCCCCTCGTGGTAGGCCACCTTGTCGTCCCCCTCGCGGTAGGCCACCTTGTCGTGGTGAGGGGGCTTGTAGGCGAGCGTCTGTCTGGAAGCCGCTGAGTGCCGTTTTAGGCATCGGCGGTTTCCGGGACGGGCGCTCGCCGACTAAGAGCCTACCCTTCCCCTGAAAAGGGGTCAGGGAGCCCGGCGACTCCGGTCTCGGCTGCTTCGACGAGAGTCGAGGTAGAACCGAGACCATTCGCCGGTAGGGGATGAGGTACCCCGACTTCAAACCTCCGGCTGCTGGGGCCGATAGGGGGGAGCTTGCTCCTCTCACCAGTACCGGGTCGTCTCCTCCCCGATCCCATTGCATGTCGGCGTTTCCGGCAGGGAAAGGGGGGAACCCGGACGAGGAGGCAGGAATCCCAGTTGCCATTGCACGCCGGTTTCCGGCAGGCGGCTGGGATTCGGGGGGAGGCCACCGTCATCCATTGCACGCCGGGGTTCCGGCAAGAGGCGGTGGCAAGGGGAGCGAGCTCCTCCGTCAGCGGGCATGTCGTGGACTTTCTCGTTGGCGGGGGAGAGCCGGACCCCGGAGGCAACAGGACGTGGTCCTGGCCGAAGGGTGGGCCGGAAGTCGTGGCCTCCCCGCGGTTGACTCGGACGTGGTCCGTTTCTTTCGGGGGGAGAGGCCGGACCTCCGCGGTAAACTGGTACCCAGGATCCGCGGAGTGGGCCGGAAGATAGACGGGGATCGGGGCCGCTCGGACGTTTCCGAGGC